ACACACACACACACACACACATTTTTTCAAGAACTTAGTGTGTATTTTTAAGGGAATGTACCAAAGCAGAATTCGGTTAATAATAGTTATGTTTTATAAAATAGAGGTTAGAAAATGAATGTTATAAATGTAAAGGCATAAATTAAACTTTAAACAAGATTTGAATGGATAATAATTAAAAGATACAAAGGTGTTACACTCCAGTTTAGTAACTACAGGGGAAAATTTGTTTTATGAGAAAAGAAAATATGAAATTGTAAACAGGACAGACAAAAGTATAAAATATTGATTAGAAAGTATTCTAGTATTTGAGATGCTGCCACAAAGAGGAGAGGGGTCAACTTATTTTCCAAAGCACCAGTGGGCAGGATAAGAAATAATGGTTGGAAACTAATCAAGGAGAGAAGCTATTTGGAATTAAGGAGAAATTTCCTAACAGTGAGAAAAATTAACCAGTGGAACCAGTCAGAAGTTATGGATGCTTCATCACTGGAGGTTTTTAAGAAGAGACTGGACAGTCATTTGTCTGAAATGGTATAGAAGAAGGGGTTGGATTATGCATGAGCAGGGGGTTGGACTAGATGACCTCCAAGGCCCTTTCCAGCTCTATTCTGATTGATGGATTGAATCCCAAGCAGCTGCTCATACAATGGAGGAGAGATGGGGGAATTAGCATGGTTGGAGTATTCACAACAGTTTCATGGGAATGCTATTTTCAGCAGAAATCCACATCTGCTGCAACATCTTGTTTCACTCTTAAGTCTGGACAACAAATAAGAAAAATGTTCACCTATGTCAATAGAAGTATCTGCTTCTTCCTGAAGAACATATGGAGCTTGAAAGAGTCACTCAAGCAGTTTAACCATTTTAATAGCATTTCATGTGATCACAGTGAACAAACAACCACTAGGGAAGACCTGAAAAAACTGTAGCTATTGCCTTCATTAACCATTTTTGCAAGTGAGGAAATGCAAGTTGCATAGTTAAAAAGGCCTGCCACTAATGCAAACCATCCGAAAAAGCACCTTGCAGATTTTACATTTACAACTTATTCAGCTATATTGTAAAAGCAACAAGTGGCTCAACCAAGCAGCTGGCTGATAGCATCTGTTTGGACTGAACAACTAAGGAGACATGTTTAAATACATTAGTGCTTCCACTACTGTCAACACAAAGGGCACTGAAACTGTGACAAAGTATGCTGGTAGGTAATTACAACAAAGAAAAATACGATGCTCAAATGAAGCTTAAAACATGGAAAGTAGCCTTTGAATTAACTGCCCACTGCCTCCATGTTCTATTTCATGTGGAAGAAAGAAAAGCAATGTTAAAAATTACCTGTCGCGAAGCATATTGTTAGACTTGGCTACCATCCCACTTTTACTTCTCTGTTCTACTAGTCCTTTTGTGTCTATTTACAAGTGAAGACTTAAGCTTTTTGCATTCTAATTGTATTTTCAAGTTTCCCCAATTATGCCATTTGTCTCTTGGGGTCCTAAAGCAATTTTAAATGTCAAGACCATTATTCCCCAACTTGAACTGCATAAAAAGCTCAAGAATTCAGCAGTGATGGGAGCTTTCTGTGCATTTTACTTGCCAAAATACATTCCAAATTAAATATGGTCAGAAGTTCCAACAAGAGAACAGAGAAGGCTTGACCTTAAACCATTCAGGTCATTGCCAGCTTATCACAAGTGAGTAAATTGGGCACAAACCAAGTCTTTGCAGCTCACTTTTATTTTAAGGTTGTTTAAATATAACCATTTTGGGTCCAAGTCTGTGAGACCTAAAGTACAATGTGTACTGCTCTTCTACTTCTAAAAGAATATGCAGACATGACAGATTTTCCTCAGAGTGTTCAATATTATAAGGTAGAATATAAATATCACAAAACATCTTTCCATCACCAGGGTAAACAATCAAATATACTTGAAAATAGTAACAACAGGGTTCAGCTTCAGTCAGAAGAAGATAAAGTTATACAATGATCTAGCAGCGAAATCATTATGAAAAATGAGGGTTGAAAAAGGCTGACACAAACTTAAAATACAACAGCAATAAATATTTCACCTGACTAACAATGGGTTTAAGGCACGGTGGTGACCGAAAGCTGCCTCTTGCCCCTGAAGAGAGAAAACCTGACACCTAGCGGCCACTTCACAGATATTTAAAGGACACTTTCAGCAAACAAAGCCAAGGATTAAGCTTCATTCTGGCTTTACTGCATAAACTTCAACAGCTAGAGAGATTGTGAAGTTTTCCTGGATATGCCTCATCTTTTTTTGTCCTGTAACACGATGAATGAAAAAAAGAATGCACTGCTCAAAAATGCAAAGCAGAAACACAGATGAAGCATGAAAGATTGATAGGTTTGGGAAATGTAATAACTCCAGAGGACAAAGCAATAAAACAAATTCAATAATATAAATTAAAATTTCAGTTCAGAGTAGCAAAAGTTCACAGCGGAAAGCAAACCATGTTCCACCACAACTGTCCAAATATAAGACTATACGGGACTTCACATCCTGTTGATTCTAATATATGCAACATAATCTAGCCATGATTTTAGCAACACCCCTTGATCAACAATCCAGAGCACTGTATTTGTTATACAGTGCTGTGCATTTGTGGACATAATTTTATTTACATTTTAAACTAAATCAATACACCAGATAGTCCTCGACTTACAACCATTCCTTTAGTGACCGCTTGAAATTAAAAACAGCACCGAAAAAGCAATGTCGCTCCGATTTTCACACTTATGACCACTACAGTAAACCCATGGTCACATGAACAAAATTAAGGTGCTTGGCAACTGGCATGTACTTATGACAGTTACTGTCCTGGGATCTTGTGATCACCATTTGTAATTTTCCTAGCCGTCTTCCAACAAGCAGTCAACGGGAAAAGCCAGATTCACTGAATGACTACATGATTCACTTAACAACTGAGGTAGTTCACAACTCTGGCAAAAAGGATCATAAAATGGGGCAACACTCAAAAAATTGTCTTGCTGAGCAACAATATTTTGGCTCAATTGTGATCATAAGTCAAGGATTATCTGTATTAATAAAAGCAGATTTTCAGAGGACTCTAATGGTTTTGGAGCCCCTGAAGCATCATTAGATAACATCCAGTACAGTAATTGGCAATTCACAGCCCCCATACAATTCTTTGTGTTCCCTAGAATTTCCCTGTAACCTTACCTTAACTGTTGAAAATCAATAGCATAATCTTCTGCCATTTTGATCCAGGAATGTGCACGACAGCAAAATGCTTAGCCACTCTACTCTTTTTTCATTGATTCATAATTAGCCAGGTAGGGCAAACTTACCTGAAGAGAGCTGCTCGCTGATTCATCTCCACACTCAGAGTTTCTTCCCTCTGCTACATCCCCTGTTGGATATTTGTAAGACTCTCCGTTTACTCGGGAAAGGAGCCAGGCAACATTATCAGGTTCCTTTTTCTCATCCATATCTTCCCCTTCTTGATCATCTGTATCTTCTCTTTGTCTTGATGTTTTCGCATCTCTTGCAAGTTTACGTTGTCTCAGGGAACTTGTATTAGGAACAATTGGTTTCCCAAATGGCTTCTTCTGCAGGAGCTGCCGCTGTGCCCGTTTCAGGCTTTTCTGGTAAACCTCAAGCTGGCACATGATGACTTGAGTATATTTGTTAGGATCTATTCCTTTGGGGCAGAATGGAACACCCCAATAATAGTGCACCACGCCTGGTTCTTCATGTTGGCATTTCTCATCAGTCCAAGGAAGTGTGCAAATTGCTGGTGCGCTTTCTGGTAGACCAGTGTTTTCTATAAGCTCAGCATTTTTGCCATGCTCAGCCTGATCTCTGAACTCAGAAGGACTTGTGTCATGATCAAAAGTACTCTGCTGCTGGGCTTCCTTCTGCAGGACTTCTGGGCCGTCAACATGAAGGTTTTCTTTTAAGTAATTTTGAGAAAGTTCCATTTCTTTGCCTGTTGGTGTTAGAAGGCTGCACTTTCCTATAAAAAGTCTCCGGGGTGCCAGCTGCCAGGACCTCCGAGGTCTTTGAGGAAAGGTGGGACTTAAAATAATAGGTAACTCCTCTTCTGAACTATGTGATGTATCACTGGAGCAGTTCCCAGCTGGTGAGGAAGTGCCTGACCTTGCAGAAGGCTGATTCTTCCCTGGAGATACAATTATGCTAGAAACTAGTGAGCTTTTAACTATGTCCTGACTTAACCTCCTCAGTACTACCAGGGGACTCTTGGCGACATCTGTCTCTCTGTTCTCATCAGTTTTGTCACTTGGAGCGATGGAGCTGCACTTGGAGCAAGGAGATTCAGAGCAAGGTGGTGGAACTGCAAGGAGCTGAGAATCTTCTGGTCCAGATGGATGGTTTTGCACTGGAGATCCTGATGCCTGGGAAAGGAGGCGCACAGGAGCAGCAGCAGAAAACTCAGAAGGCTGGCAGCTCTGCAGGAAGAACAAGAAGACACATAAAATGAAAATGATTTGCATGTATGTATATAGGTATTCTTTTAATTATTAAATCAAATTGACTGCTGTTCTACACAGTAAAAAACATAAATGATACTTCCACATTAATCTGCTCGGTGATAGCCAACGGTGAAATTAGATATTATACATCAATAAGTCCATTAGTAAGGCTTAACAAATATATTTGTTATATTTGCTCTCTTGTCAGATGCTTTGTCTAAGACTAAGATTCCAAGTAAAGTTTCATAAGCCAGCTTTGGAGAAAAGTAATTTCTGAAACCTACACAGCAAAAAAAAAAGAGAAAAAGGAGAACATCTCTTCTACTTACACTAAGGCTCTCAGCAATGGCTTTTCTCAGAAGTTCTTCCTCTTCCTCCTCTTGTGAATTTAACTGTCTAGCTTCTTGCTCACTCATTTTTAAAGCCAAGGCAAATTGTTCATCTTCTGACATCTCTGAGAAGATTAAAATAAAAGTATAAATCATGATTAAATCATAGACGCTTAATTCTCATACCTGAAGGAGCCTGAATACTTTCAGCTTTAGAAGGGGAAAAACTACCTAAATTATATAAGAACCAATTAAATAGGAAATTGTTATAGTGTATATCCTCAAAATTGGAATAAGTAGTGCTAAACAAAGTGTAATATATTCTGAAAAATATCAAATAATTGAGCCCAAGTCAGGCACTTAGTAAAAGTTCCCACAGCAATCACAACTTTGACTTTTTAAATAGATTCATCATAATGAAATATTTTACCATATAACCATACGGCAGAAGCTCTATTTTGTACTTTCACATCCAATATATAAATCAGAGAACAGAGGAAAGTACTAGATTTTTTTAACATAAAAGAAGGCTTTAAAAATATCTAACAGAATAACAGAATGGGAAGGAACCTTGGAGATCTTCTAGTTCAAACCACTGCTCAGGCAGGAAACCCCTATACCGTTTCAGACAAAAGGTTGTCCAATCTCTTCTTAAAAACCTCCAGGCTTGGAGCATCTGCAACTTCTGAAGGCAAGTCATTCCACTGATTAAATGTTCTGTCAGGAAGTTTATCTTTAGTTCTAGACTATTACATAATATATATATTATATGTTATGTATATATAATAGTATAGTTCTACTAACTGTCTACCTATCACATTAACTAGCTATTGTAATTGATTACTGTACTATTGCCATTGACCATGCCAGCCAAAAACTCCAAACCAAAACAAAAGAAAAATATCTCTACCAATGACCTTCCAGACTCCTGCACATGTTTCAAATGTCTTGAAACCATCAATGAAAGCGAAATTTACATCAAATGCCGCTTATGAGATAATCTAGCCCACCCTGCCTGCTTAAACGCAAACAAAAGCCTAGCTGATATGGTTAAAAATTCAGATACATTCTTTTATCTATGTCCATCATGTTCTCCTAAGCTAAACAAACTGAGTACAATCACAACTACAACCAAAAATAATCACCAAACCACAGCCACAAACAATTACTAATCCTTCAAATAATTCCACAAATAATATCTCCTTACCATGGAACATGAACAGAAATGTCCAAATGCCATTTTATTTGGTCTCAAAGACACCAATGAATCAGATGACATCACCAAAGTTCATGATATCATAAGCAACACAAATACAACAAACATCTTTCCTGAAGATATCATTGAAATAACCAGATGGCCCTGGGTACCAATACAGTGACGGCTCTATGGCCCCAAGATTTTGTAGAGTTGTATGCAAAAATGAGTCCAGCAAATGCATATTCATTCATACAATAAATGCCATTGCAAAAACCAATCCCAGCCACAAAAAACTTCTCTCAAGACCAGACTTACCCATACTGCAAGAATCTGCTCCCGTGAACTCCACGCAAAACTCAAAAACCGTCTAGACAATGGAGAAAAGGACTTATACATTAACTACAGAGCTGATTGCATCAAAAAAAGTCACACAACCCACAACTCCGCATCCAACCCCACCCCATCCAATCCAACATCACTCAAAACTAGGCATGCACACCCCTAACTACCTCTATTCCAACCACAACTGGCCTTAAATGTAAGCTACTCAATGCAAGAAGCCTTGTAAATAAAATACCTGAATTTCTCCTCTTACTAAATATGGCTAAATTCGACATTATATTTGTCTGTGAAACATGGCTTAATGCATCTCTCCCTGACTCCATTACCACAGTAAGAGACTATCATGTTTACGGATCAGATCGTGAAATCCGTAGAGGAGGTGGTGTTGCTATCTTCTATAAAAAGCCCCTACATCTAAAAAAACATCCAAGTTACCCAGGAGCTTGCTATTCCTGAGACCATCGTCTGTGAACTGTCCTTAAATATCACATTTCGGTTCTTACTATGTTACAGAGTCCCTGATTATGACATCGAACATGCAAACAAGCTAAATACACTACTAACACGGGCAGCATCCTGCCCACATGCTTTAATCTTTCTTGATGACTTCAATCTACCTCATATTAACTGGACCCTTAACGAATGTACAATTGAACCCACACATGCAACCTTCTACAAGGTTGCAGTAACAAATCTGGGACTAGAACAACTAGTAACCAACAACACTAGACTTAACTGCCTCGATCTCATCTTCTGCAATAATTTGAATTCAATTTACGGAATACAAATTAAAGAACCCTTTTCCAACAGTGACCACAACATGATTGACTTTTGTCTCAACATACGTCCACACAAAAATCATCACAATGACGGAATCCCCAATTATAACTTCAAAAAAGGTAACTATGATCTTATAAACAACGATATCTCATCCCTTGATTGGCAATTTCTATTCTCTGGATGCAATACTGTAGAAAACCATTACAACATATTTTTACTTGAAGTCAAAAGAGTCATCAAACTATATGTACCATTAACAACTCCCAAAACCAGAAAAAACAAATTACCCAAAACAATAAGGAAGCTTCAATCCAAAAAGAAATCGCTTTGGCGGGAAAACAAATCTGGTCACGTTGCCAACTTCAAAAGCTGATACAAAAATTTATGCCACCAGATAAAAACTGAATGCACCAATTATCACATTCAGCAAGACGAAAACCTTCTATGCACCAACTCCACCCGCACTTTCTACAATTTTGTAAACAACCAACTAAAAGACTCAAGGTCCATCCCACCCCTGAAAGGACCTAATGATAAAGACTGCAACGACGACACTATTAAAGCCAACCTCTTTAACACATTCTTTGGCTCAGTATTTGTAAACAGCAATGGATCATGCCCAGTATTTCCTAGTCGAACCACAGACAACTACAATGATCTAATACATATCGATTTTACAGAAGACAATGTTGAAAAAGCACTACGCAATCTAAAACCATCTCTATCTATTGGATCGGACGGAGTATGTGCCTACTTCTTAAAAAAGCTATCCACTGCCATAGCCGAACCTCTAAGCATAATCTTTGAAAAATCTTTCAGGACCAGCTCCTTGCCAAAATTATGGTCACAAGCCACAGTCATCCCCATCTTCAAAAAGGGAGACCCCAGTCTCGTTGAAAATTACAGACCAATCTCTTTATGCTGCGTCATCTGTAGTCATGGAATCAATTATTAACCAATCCATCATCCTCCACTTAGAGACAAACAACCTACTCTCCAATAAACAATTTGGTTTCAGGAAAAAACTATCATGTAATCTGCAACCCTTACACTGCAAAAACATATGGACTACACAACTCGATCAGGGCAAAGCAATAGACGCAATCTACATAGACTTCTGTAAAGCCTTTGATTCAGTGGTACATGACAAACTACTCCTAAAACTAAAATCTTACGGTATCTTTGGACACCTGCATAACTGGATAGAAGCATTCCTGGCAAACAGACAACAAATGGTCAAAATTGGGTGTATCCTATCAAATTCTGTACCTGTCAACAGTGGTGTCCCCCAAGGCAGTGTTCTAGGACCAACTCTTTTCATACTCTACATAAATGACCTCTTTGATCATATCAAGAGCAACTGCGTTTTCTTCGCTGATGATGTAAAGCTATTCAACACCACAGACAATACTGCTACCCTTCAAAAAGACCTTGACTATGTATCAGAATGGTCAAACAAATGGCAACTTCAAATCTCAACAAATAAATGCTCTGTCCAAAATATTGGCAAAAAAAAAATCAGAAAATAAAATACAGGCTGAATAGTCAAGACCTTGTTGATGATCCAAACTCTGTCAAGGATCTTGGAGTACTCATCTCAAATGACCTAAGTGCTAAAGCCCACTGTAACTACATAGCCAAAAAGGCATCAAGAGTTGTTAACCTAATCTGACGTAGCTTTTTCTCTGGTAATATTACACTAATAATTAGAGCATACAAAACATATGCTAGACCAATACTCAAATACAGCTCATCAGTCTGCAACCCACATTACGTATGTGATATTAACACAGCTGAGAAAGTCCAGAAATATTTCACAAGAAGAGTTCTCCACTCCTCTACTCGTTGCAGAATACCTTATGCCACCAAACTCGAAATTCTAGACCTAGAAAACCTAGAACTACGCCGCCTTCGGTCCAATCTAAGTATAGTATATAAAATCATACATTGCAATGTCCTACCAGTCAATGAATACTTCAGCTTCAACCATAACAACACAAGAGCAAACAATAGATACAAACTGAAGGTTAATCGCACCAAACTTGATTGCAGGAAATACGACTTCAGCAACCAAGTGATGAATGTCTGGAATACTCTACCTGACTCTGTGGTTTCTTCCCCAAACCCCAAAAACTTTAACCTTAGACTTTCTACTATTGATCTCACCCCTTTCCTAAGAGGCCTGTAGGGGGCGTGCATAAGCGCACCAACGTACCATCCCTGTCCTATTGTTTCTTTTAATTTTTTTTTATTTTTCTTATATGTATCCATATATTTATAACTATGTTTTTACTTATACCTATTATCTTGTAAGCAATTGACAAAAAAATAAAAAAAATACACACACACACACACATATACATGCACATACATACACACACACTATTATTATAAGAATATCTTGGAGAATGCTGCTATTATTATTATTATTATTATTATTATTATTATTATTATTATTATTATTATAAAAATGTTCTACTTAGAAAAACTGCAAAAGCCAATTAAGCTTTAGCATGATTTCATAGGAAACTATGGTGCTACTATCTACTTCCCAGCTCTCTTCCAGAACCTATCGGAAAGCGTATGTTGCTTTGACAAGAACAAAAAAAAATGAAGCTGCTTTAGAAAATATCTATTCACTGTTATTTCTGTTCGACCATTTTCACTTGGTAAAAAATATTGATGCTCAGAAAACCAAATGATAACTCCGGGACTTCTGGTTTTGAAGGGCTTCAGCGACAGACAGAAATCCGCGATCGTGCGCGGTTTCTGTCTGGGCTCGCCACTGGAGCGCCCCGAGCCGGC